TTATGTTGTCATATTTCAGTCAAGTCTCTGAGGCACTAAGTGGGTCAGATGGTTGCACGAGTCAAGAGTTTAATAAAGTGGTGACTCTTTTGAGGGAAGCTATATGTGCTGTTTGTCGGTTCAAACTAGGGCTGCACGATATTGGAAAAAACTCACGTTGCGATTTTTTTTTCTACTGCGATATGAAAAAAAAAAATCAGATGACTTCAATAGCTCTATTTGGAAAAAAACAATCAGTGATTGGGGTGATTTTGTAGGCGAGTAAATCAGCATAGGAAATAAACAAATTACAAGTATAGAGAAATAACAGAACAAAGCTACAAATGAAATAAGCATTATATTTATTATATATGCTTTATATTTTTCAGGCAAGTTTAACAGTATTCAGGTACAGAAATTGAATAATCGAATGTAAAAGAACACTGCATAGTTTTCACTATAAATTAAATCTAATAAATCTGTTTAAGCTACAAAAGTGATTTTTCTTTGTGTTTTGTTGTTAATTAACGTTCATGACAGAAAGCAACAGGAACATTAAACTGCTGTGAACCAATATACTGTTACACATCCATTTTATTCCTCATTTGTTTACCTTCACCTAAGCAACTGCGTTTACTAGGATACTTGCAGAGCACAGTATTTCAAGCGCAAATAGACGCGGAAGTGAACGAAATTCGGTGTTCACGTTCATCTGCGTGGCTTTCACCGTGTCTACACCGGATGCGAGTGACGCGACAAAATACTATAGAACCCATTTTAAAGAGTGATGCTGTGTGACTGTCTACACTGGATGCGGCACGACACGACAAATCCCCGACAGTAAACTGATGCCTTGTTTATGACGTAGGCTACTGACACAAAGTTCAAATGATATGCAATGGTCGCTTTGTCGCATCAAGTGTAGACAGACTTTGGGGCCGTTCACATGTCGTGCCTAAAAACGCGTGGAAAACGCCAGCCGCACCACATTCTCTTTCTTTCCATGAGGGCGGAAGGTTGCGCTTTTGTGGCGTCTGCCGTTACTAAACGACCGTGAACTGCGCTCTCCGCGACGACACGGAAGTGTCAAAGGATAAACGGATTTCCAGCACTGAAAATCCCTTGCAGTAGCCCTGCTACTAAATGTATTTAAAATGGGTATCTCTGTACAGTTGTCGCGTCTGGTGTAGACACCGTGTCTGTGTGTGAGCAAAGAAAACGATCAGTATAAATATAATGATTAGTATACTAAACATCGCACATCCTGCGATGTGACTATCGCGGATGCGCACATCGCGATATCGATGTTGAAACAATATATCGTGCAGCCCTAGTTCAAACAATCCATCGTCTTGAGGTTGAGCTTCATACTTAATATTGATGAACACCAGCATCACAGGACACAGAAAACACGATAAGACAGGAAAAAGCACTTCTGACAGTATGTTTGAAGCCACTATGACATTCAGTTCCTATAAGACACCATGAAGAACTGATTCTATTAATTTAACATGCTAATAATAAAATCATATCTATGCATTAGAGACTCCACCGTTTAAAAAGTCAGCAGAAAGGTGGTGACTAGTTCTTACACCACAAGTATTTCTCCTCAAACTTAACGTACATACTTAAGAAGAGGTTTCTACTATAATGTAACTATATGTATGTGTGTGTGTATTGCGGAAATTGCGATGCAAGCTCAACATCGTGATGTCTATCAGCCATCGGCGATGGACGTTGGCATCGACTATCGGTCCAACCCTACGATAAACTGTTCACAACAAGACCAAGAATATGAATTAACCCTGTTCCAGGAATTTTGACATTACTTTTTTCAACTAAACATGCTAGTTAATGCTACCACAAACTTACACCCCCGCCCTCCCAAAAAATAAATTATAATTTTTGGAGGGGTTTTCCCCCTACCTCATTACACTTGTGGCATTACCGATCAAAAATGATCAGCAAATATAAAATTGCTTATAAATAGGGTTGGGAACCAAGAACTCCCGTTTTTTGAAAAGAACCGGAACCGTGAGCAATTTCTAAGTTTCGATTCCGAAAACGGTTCTGGTGCGACACGTGACCAAGCACTGTGAGCGTAAAGGATGTCACAAACCAAATAACAGAAACACCGCCCTGCCAATTTAATTACTGAGCACATTGTTTCCCATGACGTGCACTCCACAGACGCACCGTGCCGTGTCACGTCTTTAACTGCCGAACACATCGTTTTCCACGACTGTACGTGCACTCGCATCTTTGATAACTGTGCACGTTGTTTTGTCTGACTGTACACGTACCGGCAGCACACACCGCGCAGCTCCTGCTGCCACTAATTTACATTATATTTGTCCCATATTGGCATTAATATACATACTAACTGCAACTTAAACTAAATAAATAGACTGCTATTGTTATGCAAGTATGAGGGTTAGATTATTTAGTGTACAGGTAATTTCAAGAGTGATAAAGTGATGGAAAATATTTATTTTCATGCATTTTAAATGTTTAAAAATGTGGAAACCACTCATTGAATCACAATCTCCTGACTGCATTATTATTTGTAAAATAGGGGCTTTATGGAGTGAGTGTATACATAGTTAGAAGTATAACAGTTAATATTTCATTAATTTAGGGAAATGAACAAAATGTCTTAGACCTCAAGGGACTATTTGGCCAACCAGCTTATTCCTGCTTGAAAAGCAAAATGTTATTGATAGTGTAAAAAACATCAACTTTGAAGCACATGTGATTGATGGACTAGCATTACTCAACATTATTTACTACCTTCCAGCAACACTACATTCAATGAAGGTAAAATAGTGTAAAAAAAAAAAAAAAAAGTTAATTTAAATGGAACCGTAATCGTTATGCAAAACTGGAACCGGAATCAGAACTGGAAAAATTCTAACGATACCCAAACCTACTTATAAATGTGTTGTGCTATATTATTACCTGGATACAATCTTTTCATTTACTTGTTTCTTTCAAAGAGCACAGCTTTTTTGAAGTGATTTTTACAAGCAATTTTTAAAAGGCCGGTCATATTTTGACATTGAAACGCCAAACTAGGTAAAGTTTTTTTCAGCACAGCACAAGTGTTAAAAGTAAAAGTTGAATTTTGGTTACACAATCAAAGCCGAAATTACCAATGATTTTCCGCAAAATACCTGTAACTCTAATTTGAAGAATAAACTTACACTAGTTTATCGAATACATTGGTGGGCAAAGCGAGTTACTTACTGTCATCCCCTACTGGGCCTGCTGAACACTGAGCAGGTGGGTCACGGCCCAAATCATGCAGCTCCTGCAACACACCACAAACAAAACTGCAGTTTAAAAACGGTTCACCCATCACGACTTGAAAACCAGCAAGTAAAGCTCTGCATCACCTGTCCCGATCCCTTCCTGAAACACCTGCAGTGTACGCGCTTCCAGTGAAGCACACCAAAATGAAACTGATACCGAAACTTAATACTCCAAATATCTGTGCGTTTGATAAAGTTACAGAGAAATATGCAGAACAAAGGCAATGGATGGATAATTTAAAGAATAAAGAGGTCAATATCAAATCAGACACATAACAGTCTGTGTAATGGGAGTTATTGCTGCTGTAATGACACGAGAGGTGACCACAGCTTATGCAACTCAGATTTTTCCGGGTTAGTCTGTTCTACTAAAACCCAAGAGTATTAAAACGTTCAAAATTGTAAGAAAAGCACAATAAGGGGTCTGAAATGTGAATATGAATGCTTTGGACCACGTCCATAAAGCCAATTTGCTTGCGCCAAGAGCTAACTTCAAATCTCCTAATATATAACGTGCGAGTTTGGCTATAAAAATTAAACGGATGAACTAAAGGACCAAATCTTTGGATGGTGGCGAGGGCAAAAAGATATACAATATGAACACCACCAATATATTCTGAAAATGATGTAAAACATCAACGCGAGGATAAACTGCGGCCAGATGCCTCTACCGGAGGGGTTAGCCAGTTAACAACCTAAAACAGCACGAAATAAAGACATGTAATATAATAATAATGTACACTAATATATTAGCAGTAAAATACAGTCGATTCATGAAGTTGTGGTAGATATAAACGATCTGTGTTCAAGGTTTTCAAATGGGCCTTTAGCATTGGTGGCAACGAGGGGTTAGCATGCTAACACGTTATCGTGATCTTACATTAATCCTCAAGTGAGCCATTTCAACCCGACTTCAATTTCAAAAGACTACTTATTTAAGTTTGAGATAAAAAAAAACCAGAGGGGAAATACAAAAGCAGTGACCAAATAAACATGTATTTAACAGTCACACACAGTTCGACGGAGGGTCGCTAGCTATCGTGCTAACCGTTAGCCCGGGCCGAACCGTCGAACCGGGGTGCTTTCCTACACTTGTCATCCCACCAGTGCCACACTTAACACGTATACCTTCTCAGTAACATCCCTTAAATTGCCTTTCCAGCGTAAATGAGCAAAGATGGTGCGTTTTCGGTGCGGAACAGGGCAATGGCGCCCGTGACTTCCTTCTCTTACCTTGTGGATTCTTTTCAGAGCCATTGTTGTGCTGTCAAAAACACACAAAACCCCGCCTTATACTCGATTAAAACAGCGCTTCTTTAATTTCGACGCGACCGACCCCTCCGGTGTCTTAATAAGGGACGCCTTGGGGTAATAATTCTGTCGGTGTTCTGTGTGTGACGGAGCCGGTTGGTGTAATTTGAAGGCGAAACTGAAAGGTGGTGCTGGTAGCGGTTCGGTCCTTCCTCCTGCAGCAGCGGCAGCGAGCAGCTACCGCATCACTCACACTGCGCTGCTCTAATCAGATCCTTCCGCCAATGGACGCAGTCGCCGGGGACAGATTGCGCGCCGACGCCAGTTGCTACATAGTACTGTAGTGAATCACGAAACTGATGCAATAGCGTCGCCAGAATGGCGGATCACGCTCAGTGACTTCAACGCTTATTGAGCCCAAATGAAAGCCGGTGCTTGAACGCTTCCATTTCGAGCCGATAAACGAGTAGATGATCAGCTCAGTAATAGAATGGAGAGAACTAGGAGGATATAAGCATATGTCGAGATGTTTATTGTAAGTGGTGTGCATACGACTCATATTAATATTTATTTGAACAAAACGGTTAATATAAATTTAACAAGAATGGCAATAACATATATATACCCTTGTTCAGAGGAAGTTTCACCAGTGCGGAGGGATATTTGACAAATTAATGGTTTATCGCGGCAAAAAACGAGCTTATCGTCCATAGATGAGGGAATGTGTGTGTAACTAAAGACCACTGCTGTACATAAATTATGTTTAAACCTAATTATTTTAACCATGCCACATTAATATGTATGCACTTTACAGGTATGTTTTTTGTTTAATCATGCATGGCATCTATAGCTCTAAAATTGTCTTTATCATTTTATATATATATATATATTTATTTTGTTCTTTTGTTCTCATTTCTAATATTTGATTGTCCAAACAATTAATAGCAAATATTTTTAGGCTGCTTTTGTCTGATCCTCACATAATCCTGATTACACAAATCTAAAAAGATCAAACGATCGGCCTATATTCCTAAAATACCTTGTTTCATTGTGATATCTTTATCCCGTTGCACAGGTTTATGCCCTCTATCTACCCCATTCAGACAATCACATTCTCTGAAAAAAGCAGGCCTTTAGGCATAATGGAGGAATAGAACAGAACAGTACTGACACACTGGGTTTAAAGGAAATTGTTAATGATACAACACAAAAAAATATTGCTGATTATTAATACATGACAACAAAATAGTGCAAACTAGAGTGATGAAAGCATAACATATCAAAATGGACCAGGTGGTATATTTAAAACGCACTGTGTTGTTGTAGTAGCATGGTAAAGTGATACTTTGATAACTTGCTATTGAATGACTCATATATCATACATTATTTACATGCTACTCTATGTTATTTCAAAAAATAACATTGTATTACCATGGTACATGTTCAAAAGTCCATGGTATTACCATGGGTGCAGTGCCCAAAAACAATGGAAACCATGAATTGTTTTGTACTTATGTTAATGAAGCAGCATTCCAAAATGGTAATTGTACAATATTTGATTTGACAGATAGATAGATAGATAGATAGATAGATAGATAGATAGATAGATAGATAGATAGATAGATAGATAGATAGAAAAGAACAAAGATAACATAAGCTGGTTGTTTTTGCAACATTCATAATACAGTCCGAATCCTACGTCGCCTTCTGACTTTCTACGCCATGAAGCATTAAAAAGACTGACGTCAATAAAGCAGCAACAAGGCCTGGGTGCGCGCGCGCTCTCTCTCTCTTTCTCATCTCGTGCGCAGGGAAACCCCGAATCAGCCTCCGCGTGATGGCAGTATGAGGCAGTCCCTGCAAACCGGAGCGTGGGAGTTCCTCTCTTCGCCATGTCGGGGTGGTGCTGCAACGCGCTGAGGATACCCTGAACCGATCAGAAGTCTCCCAGCCCCCCTCCTGCTACTCCATCCATCCATCTATCTATCTATCTGTCTACCCATCCGCCCCCACACGGCACCAGGCAGAGTCCAGCATCTCCAGCATAACTGTTTCCCCGGATCAGCTGCGACACATCTTCCCCCTGACCGACGGTGGACGGAGGAGAGACGCACCAAGTGATGCGGCTTCTGCAGCCCGCGCATCCCGCAGCACCGAAGACCGCACGCTCGCCCGTTAGGAGTCGGCGCACTTTCCCCGTTATCTACAACAACCCATGAGAATGTCCAGCACAGACATCGTGGGTTTAAACCCTACCGACCGCCTAATCAAATGTAAGTGCATTGTGTTGTGTACCTTTTTATTCATACTCAGTATATTTAAGCATGCAGCGTTAAGTGCGATTGTGCATGATTCGCGATGATTCTGTTTCTATGATGATGCGCTGTAAGGAAGGTCTTTTTATCGAAGATTTTTTTGAAAACCTCATACGCCATGCATTAATGGTTGATCAGGATGCTTCGGATGGTGTGTTTTGCATCCAAAAAAAGTCTTCCCAATATATGAGATTGGCAACCCATTAAGGTTCCCTAAATGCTCAGCGATGCTGATGCAGGCGAGGTATGGCAAGTCATTTTATCATTTATTCTTTAAAACTAACATTATTTATGTTTGCAAATTAGTAACAAGTGCTTATTTATCAGATACTACACTTTAAAAATTAAAAGTTATAAATACATTTAATATATTTAAGTTATAAATAAAAGATTATTGGAGTACGTTTCTCAAGATTTCAATTTCAAAATGTAAAGTTTAATTCAATGTGTTAATTAACATTTCTATGTAATTGTGAAATTTACTACCACTTTTCGAGTGAAAATTGTTTCTTCTGTATTATTTATTTTTTGCAACGAGTCACTCAAAAGTATCTCAACTAGTCATCTCAAAAGTAAAGGGAAAAAACTGTTGTTAACTAGTGAAATAAGAAAGTTACTAATAACTGGGGTGATGTAATCAAACCAAGGAAGTGTATAATTTCATACTTGGAGAAAACTATACTGTATATCCATTAACATTCCCATTTATTTCAAAGTGTTTGGTAGTGGATTTTATCAGCCAAACATATGATCTACCTGTATAAATGCCATGGACACTTTTGAATGACTGTCAGTAGAGAGAAAAAAAATGCTTTTTGCAAGCAGAATGGTGTAGCTAACTGAACCATGCTAACTAGCCAAACCCATGTTGCAACAAAGTAGTATCAAAGTACATTTTAAGGAAAATAATATTTACTTGGTGGCCATATTTACAATGCCTCCAGGCAGCTACTTCAGGCATGCAAGACAAACTATATTTATGAATGGGGAAATACTGAAATCTCTGGCATTTAAATAGCATATTTCAAATCAGCAATTAAATCTGGCTTGTCTAATAAATGCTGTTTTCAATGCTAAAATAGAATAATAATAATAAAAAAAATATATAATTAATGCAAACCAAGGAAGTTTATAACACTTAGAGAAAAAACATTAAACCATTAAAAAGCAGTTATAATCAATGCAAACAAGTAGCGTTAAATGTGAAGCTTGGCATAATTATTTAGATGTTTCTTGGTACCATGCCCAAAAAGTTTTACAATAATATTGTGTCCAGAAAAAAACATGGTAGTATTATTTATTACATTGTACTTCAAAAAAGCATGATAATACCATGGTGCTTTTAGTGAGGAAGATTGTGTGCTTAGCATAATTATTTACATATTACTCAAAAACACCTCAAAGAATACCATGGTATTACCATGATACTTGTAAATATCATAGAAACAATGGTAATACTATTGACCAGTGTTCAATGTTGGGAAGATGGAATGGATTTTATCCAGAACATAAACTTTGAGCTTAATCTTAGATGAGAAACTAAACATAACCATGAGCTATGAGCTTGACCAGATAAAAACAATGACCTGGCATGGAATAGCTTCAGTGCTTCAGTACAAGGAAAAATGGCAAATCAGGGTTTAATTGCAAGACTATGTGTTAATCACATGACACAATCAACGACAAACGTTAACAGAACTGCTAAACAAGATAACAAGACAAATGGACATGAACCAGTGAGCAAACAGAACTAATAGTGAGAAAAGACAATGAACCAATGAAAACATGACATGAGAAACAAGCTGGAACAGGAGGTCACATGACACAAACATGACTGAAGAAAAAGTAAAAGACATGAAATAAAAGACTTGACTAGATAGACCTGAACTGAAAACATGAACAAAACCCTTAGACAGACGTGACACATATAGCATTAAGAAAGCATATTTTTCAGATCGGTCCCGCCAATGCACATGTGCAGTCCTAAGCGAGACTAAGTGAGTCTCAGGTTTCTATGGGAACCAGAGCTTCTAATATTTATAATATTATTCTAGTATTGGGCCCGATACTGAGCTCCTGTACTCGTACTCGTTAAAATGCCCCGATACCAAACGCCGATACCACACAGCATGTGATAAGTGCTATATTCAGACAAAGAAACACTGACAACAGACAGCAGAATGGAGTTATTAGAGATTAAGGATGTCTACGAAGTGTATGTGTGCAATGAATATAATGTTAAACATTCAGTATTAACGCCTGTATAGCTGATGTGCGCGAGCTGATAAGCAAAGCACGCTGAGTAGATTGAGCGCCAAGGTTATTTTCATAAACTAAAACTAAAACTAAGACGAAAACGATTGATGAAAAAACAATTTCGTAACTGAAATAAAATAAAAATGACAAAATAATTGAAAAACTAAAACGAAACGAAACTAACAACAGTTATTGAAAAACTAACTGAAATAAAATAATAATTATCAAAAATAAATAATCGTTTTCATAATCATTACGTTCTCATCCCTTGGCGGAAAAATATATGAGCTGTGTGGCGCCGGCGGTTTAGGGAAATACCTGTAAATGGCGCTTTGCTTACGAGAGGTTTTCTTATGGAGAGACGCAAAGCAGTTTAAAGCAGAGTCCTGCACGGGTCCTGTTTGGTAAACGTGCACCAGCAGTAGCTACTTAACAGAACACTCGACCCGTTATCCAACAGCAGCACTAATTTAATTCTGTACCAGACCAGACCCGTTTGATAAAGACTGCGAGTCGCGAACCGCACCTGCATTAAATCTATTACATCAGGTAGGCAAAATTGTTTATTTTCCCATGTAACTCAAGCAATCAAACCAAAATTAGGCATTCTAAGTTGGTGCTTTGAAGAAAAACAGACACTCAGCGCAACGTAATAATTAACAGGAAAAAAAGAGAAGAACGCACATCTTGAAAACAATGCAAAACTTTAGCATAGCATCTTGTGATCACTCTGCCAGGCTTTCGGACAAATGTGCATAGGCTAAATCACATCATAAACACGCTTATAATTCTTAATAAATGAAAATAACATATTCAAATATGAGCCTTAATGCGATTGCCATTATTATTGAATTTCATTATTCCCAGTTATGATTTATACGCAGTTGTTCACGGAAAAGTGAGCAAGACACGACAGTTACAATATATTATGATTGTTAAAAAAGACATCTAACCAGCATAACCAAATTAGGCTACATTTATTGTCATATTAAATATCTCAATACACATCATTAGATATGACATTAAGCACAACTTGTGTAGATTTATTTAGTAAAAAGGCTTGACTGCTTCATTTTGGCATATATTTGTATACTTTTACCATTTAATCAATCTCCGCATGCGTTAATTTTGTGTCGCTAGACATTTGCTTCACTAAGGCTAAATTATGACTAAGTCTTTCTTTGGCCTGCGCTCTGGAAGTGATCTGTTAATTCTGCTAACCTTTAATTAAAACTGAAACTAAAACTGAAACTAAACTATATAAAAACTAAATAAAAATGTGTTCACAAAATAAAAACTAAACTAAAACTAACAACAATATTAATGAAACTAATAAAAACTAAACTGAATTGTATAGCAAATTTGAAAACGATATTAAAATAAAACTAATTTAAAAATTAAAAACTATAATAACCTTGTTGAGCGCGCGGCGGCGCAGATGCGCGAGCTTGTCGAGAATATCCCTTTCTCAAAGACATCACTGGAAAGTTTGTAGTTCGGTCGGATACGTCAAAAACAAGTAAGTAAAATAATGCACAAGTTACTTAACGGTAGGGAGGGAGAGAGAGACAGAGAGAGCGCGCACACAATTCTGTTGTGTGATCTTTGATGTTCACTCACTTAGCACACGCATCATTTGGATTCAAATTAAATCATAAAAATAAGACTGTTTATATGGGCATTCACTATAAACATCATTTATTTTCAACCTTAGGCATACATGACTTTTTGGCGAAAGTGAATCTAGCAGCCTGTGTGAAATGTGCTAGGCTGTGCTACTTGTCCCTCTCATTCTGCATCAGTACAAATACGTGCACGCGTTGCGCGTTTTGCTTGCTTGAGTGTTTCTGCATTATATGAGTAGCTTTGGAATATAAATCGCAGCACGTTTCAGATGAAAAAAATGCAACTTCTACTTCTGAAAATATCACAGTTAGGAGATTTATAACAAGTGGTTCCCTGTATTGTTACAGCAAAGCGTGTGATTACAGTACTAAGCCGCTGCAATGGAGCAGCTCTAATGCTATTAAGATGATGTACCATGAACAGTGAAAGTAACAAAAACAAAAAAATAAAGCAAAAAAATGAACAGTGAAAGTAACAAAAACTTGTAAAATACATTTTAATGGGCATAATTAAGTGTGAAAATAACCGAAGGATATACAGTCAAACCAAAAATTATTCAGAGACCAGATATCATTTTTTATATATTTTTTTACTAGTGGGTGCAGGACACTATGGTTCATTTATGTAAGTGAGGATAGCAAAATAAAGTAAATTGTGACAAATTACACCCAAAAATTCTTCATACAGTTGTCTACCAGTAAAACTGATACATATTATTCAGACCGAGTCTGGGAAAGAAACTGAAGTTCAGGATTGCATGAACCCAGATGACAGCATGCCCAGGAGTCTACAGGCTGTCATTAAGGATAAGGGTTGCCCGACTAAGTATTGATAGTTGTGTAAATATTGTCATACTAACAGCTGTCTGAATAATTTTTGGTTGATTGTAATCCATTACATACCTTTCTATCAAAGTTATCTAACATTATCAAGCTGAATTTGTTCTGACACAGTTTAACTCTGAGCTCTTGTCATATTTTATTACCATTTTCTAAACTATAGCGAATAAACTGTGATAATGTGAGAAATGTTGTGTCTGAATACATTTTTGTTTGATTGTATCTATTTGATAAAAT